CATTTCCAGGAAAGTTCAGAAGCTGTGTGCTGTCCATTTATGAACAAATTAAAACAGTGTTTGTGTTGCCATGGGAACCATGACGTTTAATCTTTTGCACTTTTATTGTCTAATTTCACAATAAATTGACAATATCTATATTTTCCTTCGGTGAATTTTTCTGAAATTTTTATTGAAGATTTATGGTCCATAAAGGAAAACATATCAAAATTTGAAGGGAATTTACAAATAAGTTTTCGAGATATTCGTGAATGACAGTTACAGAAAAAGTTATTTGTAGAATTTCTTAAAATTTGGATATGTTGTACCACTCGTTTTGTATAACAAAAATACAAAGTTTAAAAAAATTTCACCGAAGAAAACACGAGAAAATCATCGCTAAAATCGGCGTGGCCAGCATGAAAAAAAATCGACTCGACATGAGCACGATCTGCGCATGCGTGTAAATTGTAGCGTGTGATTTATTGTGATTTCAACTTTTTGGCTTACAATGCATACGAAAACTGATATTTGTGACTTGTTTGATATGAAATTAAATATTAATCTTGAAAATACTAATAAAAAACACTATTATAGGCATTGTATTAAATCCAGTGTTAGTTTACATTTGATTTTGTTGTTAAAATCGGTGTGAAAACTTTTCAAAACATCGAACTGCAAGTTTAACTTTTCATATAAAACAACTCGTAACTGTTTTATTTGATTTAGCAGATAAAACGATACCTCTGAATTGAATTGATTGACAGAACTAGTTAGAACTTATATAAGTTTCGGCAACAGTTCACTACTGTTCAAGAGTTAATAGAAGACAGTATCATTTCAGTTTGACAGTTCGCAAAACAACAAGTTGAAAATTTTGAGCTATTTGAAAGACAATACCACAGAATACTACACAGAAGGCCATCTACATTGTTTTTAGCGTAAGCGCTATTCGTCACGATTCGTCACTCAGCAAGTACCGTAAACAGAAGCAGTCCCCCCCTGGAAATACTAAAAATGGCGAACGTCCAGGGGGGTGACTGCTTCTGTTTACGGTACTTGCTGAGTGACGAATCATGACGAATAACGCTTACGAAAAAAACAATGGAGATGGACTTCTGTGTAGTATTCTGTGACAATACTGAACGTAAATACGTAAAAACACACTAAAAGATAGGTAAAACTAGTTAATAACATACGTACTGTTCGAATTCAGAAAAAATTAGGATTATGATGAAAAACTGGGGCATTCTTTGTAGATAAAAACGCAAAAAAACTTCCCACGGCTTGTTTCAATATTTTTGCCGAACAGTAAACACGAGTACACGACGATTCCACGCCATTGAACTAAAAATAACTGGAACGCTACGTTCAGTAAACTGCGCATGCAAATCTTGAAGCCAAAATTTGACTCCCATGAAGCCAAATGAAGCCAGTTTTGACTCCCAGACACGCACTTCCACGCGTGTTTCTACTGCGCGATTTACTCGCGAGACAATGCAGGGGGCGCTCGAAGCATGCCGTTTTGAATGCTTTCATGGCAGGATGCAAATCGAAAGGGAAACGGGCCTTTTCAATTTAAAACGGGCCTTTTAAAGCCTGTGTACGACCTTGTAGAATTTAGCTTCAAATTTCCGCTTGAACGTAGCGTTCTAACTGTAGCGAGCCACCTTAAGCTTTTTAACAACAACTGCATAGTACCACTGCCAATTTCCTCCACGTTTCTTAATGAATTCCAGCTAAATGTTGGCAAACCATGTTCGATTCGTCTTTTCTTAATGAGCGATGGAACTTTAAAGCTTCCCAATTTCGACATTTTAGTTGACAATTAGGCACGAGCACGTGCCCGACTTTTTTATTCAGGATTCAAACCATGAATTTCGTTCGTTTAGACTTCAGACACTTACACAATAGATAGTTAACATCGGCGAGAACTTTGAAGTGTCGTAAAGAGAAGAAACGCTTCAAGTATCAGTAAAACTAGTCCTTTCGTTACCTGTGACTGTCAAAAGTACAGTGATAAATGAGATAACATTTCCCGGCTGTCAGTTATATGACACCATAACCTGTATTTAATTAAGTCGAGTCAGCGTGTTTATTAATTTCCCCAAATTTTTCATGATATTTACCATTTTACCTTTCAAAACATAACATTTTGTCACTAAATACGTCACGTTTTGCACTTTTTGCGCGTGTAAACATACAATTTTTTAACGGCTTTTCAAATAAGATTTGTTCGCTGAAGACAAGTTTTCTTTGCACAAACAATATGTTTCCGGGTTATTTAAATATATAAAAATTTGGTGAATTCGGTCGTTGAAATGGTCTACGAAGTTCCTTAGATTTGCGAAACATGTTGTCTACACTGCATTTCAAGGAGTTGAAACAACTTTAAAAGAGTTCTTCTGTCATCGTTTTTGGTGACAGAATATAACACTCGGCGGAGTTGATTCAACTCCTTGAAATTTACAGTGTATGTATTGACAGCACGCTAATCGTTACGTATTTAGTGCCAAAAAGTAATGTTTTAAGTATATATATATATATATATATCATGAAAAAGTTTGCAGACTCAACGCTTGTATAGATAATAGAGTATAGATTATCTCTATAAAGCGACTAAGCCTCGCACTGAAAGCGATTAGCCAATTACTGCGTAGGTGGTATTCTTTGTCAAACCGCAAGTGTTTTTCTCAAATTGATCCGGTTCCGTTCGCGTCAAGTCGGCATTTCTTAAATAACAGACTTAAAAGAATTATAACTGACCTCTATTCTTATCCAGTAATGGCGAAGCGAATCTTGTTTCTCACGAAACAAATACGGACCCTACTGCCCACGATGTCAGATTCACTTTTCACATGGAG